AGAGAGAGAGAGAGAGAGAGAGAGAGAGAGAGAGAGAGTTTGGGTGATCGTAGGCGGGACTGGGGGAGAGTGGGAAAGGTACGGGTAGAAGGAACGACTGGACTCAGTGGAGTGTGCGCGCTGGAGCTTGGCGAGATGGCGTTCAAGGTATCTAAGAGCTTGAAAACTCAGGTGCACGTGTACCAAGCCGTCGAACAGTTAGAGTGTGGAGCTGCAGTTCTCGTTCTGACCATCATTACCATAGCGGTGGGATCCTTCGGCCCGGATATGAGTGCTCGTATCGTATGGACCTGCGTAGTGCTTCTGCTATTGGAAGTAGAATCGAAGTTCAGGATGTTTATAAAGAAGGTATATTTCGGAGCTGTTCTTGTGCTCATATCGCAAGAGGCGATAGACTGCCCTATCGTCTTGGAAGTTCCACTTTCCCGGACGGGAGTGCTAGCCCATCGTTCGGCTACGTGTTAATCACTGCGGTACTCCGTAATTATGTGTTGATTGCCCAGTTAAGTCTGGGCGTGTATCTTTATCGAGCTATGCCTGAGCTGAGGAAACATCCAGATTACCACAAGGACTCGGCGAAGAGGCGTGCTCACGAGTTCGTTGCCGTCACGTGCGTTGGTGTCCTCATCCACAGTGTCCTCAAAGTCATACTTCTCTACTTTGGACTCATGCACAGTGTCCTCAAAGTCATACCTCTCTACTTTGGACTAGGATACTACTGCATGAGGACTATCGTAAACGTTCTAAGACAGAGTCGGTGCCAGGACACAGAGCTGGCCGACACCCAACGCTTCCCGTTCTGGGAAGCCTTCGAGACGAAACGACTGGAGAGGGTGTAGCGGACCTCGGGTTGGCCTGTGAGACCAGCCCCTTGACCTGTTCTCACAGGCCTGTGTTGTATTCGGGGTAGGCCAGTCCAGGCCGGTACCTCTGTCGGTACCAGCCAGTCCAGTCCAGTCCCGTCAGCCCGCTGGGGTATACCCCAGCCATTGTCTGTTTTCAGTCTCATTCTTCACTTGCACATTTTGGAGTACGTGCGTTGGAGTCTTGCGTGGGGAGCTGCGCTGTGCACCTTGCTCCCTCCTTCTTCCTCCATCTCCATCTCTGTCGCCAGCGGAGCACCACACCTGGTGGGTCCGCTACATTGGTATCGGAGCGGGAACGGTCCCCGGCCCCACCCACCACACCGCACAGCAGGGAAATACAGCAAAACCCGACAATCGGGTTTTTGGCTGTTTTCCGGCCGTTTTTGGGTGAAAAAGCGGGAAAAAACAGCGAAGAAAGGTGCTAGCTCCACGTGGCGAAAAAGGAAGCCGCATCACAAGGCCGCCGCACGCGCACGCGTGCCACTCGCCCACGCTGCCCCGCCCCGCTCCCGGATTTTATATTATCAAGATCCGGGATGCAACTGCTGCCACTGGGGTTTGAACCCAAGCACCTGCCGAGCCATGCGCGTACGTAAGCAGCCTCATAACACACTCGCCACAGTGTGTTTATGGCTTTGTAGCATAACACACTCGTGTTGAAGAGGTGTCGTGCTGGCTATTTACCCCCCCCCCCCCAGCGAGCAGTGAGCAGTAGCAAAGTTGCTATTTAACCCCCCTCCCCCCCTCGCGGCTGCTGCTGCCTGTGCACGTGGCCATCTCCACGGCCACGTGGCAGCCTATGGTGGGGCTGAAGACCCCCCCTGCTTAGGGGGCTGCTCTACAGTGGAGAGGGCCTGCTCACACAGCAGACCCTACATCTGGACATCTGCAGAAGTGCTGCTGGGGGCTGATCAAGATCTCAGCCCCCCCTCTCTCCTCCAACTGGCTGCTGCAGCAAAGACCAAGACCCTCCTGGTCTTGGTGTACCTTGTGCCCTTGGAGACACCAAGGGCCAGGTATCACTCCCTTCTCCCCTCTCCCTCTACTAACCCAATCTCCCTACTTCTCCTCTCTCCTCTTATTCACCCCTTCTCTTTCCCCCACCTTCTACTGCATCTTTCTCTCCTCCTTTTATCTTCCCCACCCCACCTTTCTCCCA